GAGGTGCAGCCCATTTTCCTCACATTTTCAACTATCATTCTCACTCTACTCTCTCTCTCTAGCCACCCTAATCCACCTCGAAGCCTAGGAAACCTCCCTAGCATTACAAGAAAACACCAGAGCGCCCGAAGGCTCCCAGAAAAAGAGTTTTTCGGTTTGAAACTCTGCCCGCGCGGAGCCTAGTTTTCAAGCAAACTTCCCGGTTTCGTCAAAGAAGATTATTTTAAGAAGTGAAGTGTTGTCCGAATCACTCCTTATCAGGTGAGTGTATAGTCACTCTTATCTTACACATAGATATGAAGTATTTTATATAAATTACGTGTTATGTGTATATATATTATCTGTTTACTTGGGATCTATGCTGGATGAAAGATCTGAACCTCTTCCTTTTCAGATCTGAACTTTTTCTTTCAGATCTAAACTTTTCTTACAGATCTGAACCGTTTTCCTTCAGATCTAGACTTTCTCACTTCAAATCTAAAATTTTCAGATCTAAACTGTATATGTATGTTTTATATTTTGAGATCTATGCTGTATGAAAGATTTAAACTTTGTTTTTCAGATCAGAATTGTATATATATTTTATGTCTACAAATATGTTAGGTAAAACATGGGTAGATGAAATAGTTGGTGTGTGGTGAAATAAAATGATCAGAGGCCACGATGTTGACGTTGATCCAATCATCTAGAGGAGTATGGATGACGACCACAGTCAGAGGCCACGATGTTGATGTTGATTCCGCAACACTTTTCTTAAGAAGTTACTCTGATTTTTATTAAAAAGCATAAACGAAATCGGTCTTTTCTAGCCGTAAAAATGGGGATGTCACAATATATTGGCATAAATGGTTGGTAAAGTTGAAAAATTTATGACTTGTTGAGATCCCTTGGTCACCATATGTTCCAAATCTAGAGTTTCATGTTGATTGGTGCAATGCATGGAGTTTTGACTCCATTTCTTACCCTATTTTGACGTACTTTGGGAGAGACATGCATTGGACATGCATGTCCAATAAGTAAGTACTTTTATGGTTCAGTTGAGGGCAAGCAAGCCTTCTAGAAATTTGGAGCAAAGGACTTAATGGATTAAGTCCTTATTAAGAAAAAATGGCTTCTGCCAGTAACTACATGTAGCCAAAGGATAACCACGACGTGGTGGAGAGCCTCGTGATTGTTTTGTTTGGACATGCCCATGACATAGCCAAGGAGGGTCCACGATGTGGTGATGTCCTACTTTCATCTATTTTCTCCTGTCATGCCTACAACGTGGCCAAGAGGTCTCCATGTCATGGTGGTTGTTGACTTGGTTGACCTTTGACTTTTGTTGACCGTTGACTTTTTGACATGGTTGACTTGTAGTCAAATTGTTAGTTTTAGAAGGTAGACTAAGGTTTTACCTTGTGTGATTCATTAGGAGGAGTGTAGCACCTGATGTTTGCTTATGTGAGCTTGTTAGCTGCCAACTACGTTTGTGAGGTGAGTCTTCTCACTATACTATGTAGGATGCTAGTTGTCTTTGTGAGGCTTGCATGGAAGACAAGGATGTGGCCCCTAAAAAATGTATGAAAGACCAGGATCTGGACCCTAGCATATGTATGGAAGACCAAGATCTGGCCCCTAACGATTGTATGGAAGACCATGATGTGTCCCCTGGTACTTGTTAAAGTAAAGATCATGATTTATCCCATCGAAGGTGTAAAGTCTATATATGTTGTGATATGTCAAACCTTAGGTAGAGTTATTTTTTATGAATGTCTGTAAATGACAAAGGTCCACAAGATTTCGTTATGTATGTATTTACTAGGCACAGTTGGATCAACTCATCTCCCTCAGTCTCAAGCACACCATTGAGGAGGTTGAGCAGAAGTATAATTCAAGTCTTGATCATTATCTTGACACCATCACCACCATGCTAAAAGTTCGCGATGATATGATCAGCGCCACCAATGAGCTGATCAAACAAACGCATGACAGGCATGAGAAAGAGATTCAAAGGATGGAGAAGGAGATTAAGAAGAAAGATGAGATGAACCTCATCACGCAACAAGTTCTCATCAAACTCCTCCGAGCCTGCTGGAATATTATGGACATTCTGAACAACAAGTTCGATGAAATGTTGTCTATTCTTGCATCTTTATTTTACAATCTCAAAGCCCAGGCTCCGACTGCTGAAGCATATGACGCCCTTACCTTGCAGATGAACACCAACTTTCAGAAGTTGTTTAATCGTCTCTCGGAATTTTAGCACTCTGCTTTGTTGCCTCGGTTGCCTGGCCATCTGATGCAAGAGTGGGAAAAGGCCCAAGCAACAAAGATCATTCTATCTCTTGGAAGCCTTCCTCGGAATTTAAACTCCGAGATGAGTCTGATGATGAAAATGTTCAGATTGTTTCCACATGTACTCCATCTGATGATGATGATGCAGAAGATGACAAGTATATCGCCAATGCAATGATAGGAATTCAAGCTCCAAGGAAGTTTCCAGCCAAAATTCTTTCCGAGGAACAACAAAGGATATGGTCTGTTGTATCATGGCCATCATCCTTAGCTGATGTTCTAAAACTAAGTCGTGAAATGGCTAAGGAAAAGACTGACCTCATAATTGAAGCTTTCCGAGCCACTTAATCGATGTTTCCTCCAGTTCCCTTGCCTAAAATTGCTCCAATCGATGAAGTTTCTCCACTTTGTAAACATGATAACATTCCTGAAGAGCCCCTGATTCCTCCTCCTCCTGAATTCACCGTCAATGAAAACATGCAGCATATCATCTCGATTCTCAACAAGAAACAAGACAATGGAAAAAGACCATATCGCAATTTCAAAGCTTCGAACAGACCACCACGATTACTAATGGTTGGTCTCAGGAACAGATCGCTCAAGCTCTTGAAGAGAGCATCCTAATTCAAGCTCTAAGATAACCCCAATCCAATGCTAGGTCTTTCCCCACTCTACAAATAAGGAATAATCCATGACTTGGACATAGTACCATTCATGTATTATGACCTCCCAACTCAAGATTCAGACCAGCTTGATCTTCCCATCTCTCCATACGGCAAGTTCTATATCAAATTCGCCCCTCTCCACCAAGAAGATGATCCTCAGATGATCATCATAACCGAAAGAGAACGTCTGAAGAATTTCTACTCTTTGAACGCACGTCCCCAAAAGGAAGTATGGTCTTGGAAGAGAATAACCAAGATATATGGGTTTGCAAGGAAGGTGTTGACGAAGTTTGATTTGGATTATCTCTTAATCACATACTATTTTGTTGGCTAGCTTTGGCAAAAGACTATTTTTTTTTTTGGCTATTTAGTGTCCTTAAGGATATTGACTATTTTTGTCATCTTCTCTAAAAAGAAATTTTAAATGATACAATCAAATAAATTCTATGATCTAATTTTTTTTGTAAGAAGAAAACTTAAAAATGTAATCTACAACTAAATGGATTTTATCAAAAGTCTAATATTTAGGGCGTGTTCGGCAAAATTAGCTGGTAACGGGTGGCTTGTAGCTTGTAGCGTGTTGTTAAACGCTACATGAAGTAGCATTTGAATTTGGAGCGTTTTGTTTAAACTAAACGCTAGAAGCTTGTAGTGCCGAACGAGGCTTTCTGTTCAAAAAGGAACGTTTTGTCAAACGCTAGAAGCTAAAAGCTCTCAAACGCTCCCAAACGCTCTGTGCCGAACACGCCCTTAAGCGATATCAAAATGAGTAGGAATTGTGTTTACTTATTCATTCAAAAAGGAAAAAAAACAAATAAATAAGTAAATAAATAAAATAAAAACAAGTAAAAATATTAAGCATAAATATGAATTCGAATATTTGGGGATCATCGTGCGCTTCATCTGAAATACAAAAAGAATAGTACCAAACAAATAAAATCTGATGTTCTTTCTCTTTCACTTCCCTGATATGATCTCTCTCTCTCTCTCTCTCTCTCTCTCTCTCTCTCTCTCTCT